CGCCGCCGCCGCCGCCGCTGCCACCCCCGTTCATCGTTCGATGGGGTGCGCCTCGGGGATGAACATTGACAGAAGGTTGGCTTCTATGAATGAATGTCCGATCCATACACAGCGCGCTACGTCGTTACGTGTTTTCGGAGCTGAGAACGCGAGGCTGATTTTGCCGAGGGTGGACGATTCGATATCCTCTAAGGAACAGCGAAGAAGTAATTGCGAAGGCGCCAAAGTCGGGGGTAGCTTTCAGCAATATCGGAGCTAAGGAAGCGAAGGGTAGTGTTCGTAATACTGGACGACCAATGTGATATAATGTTTCGAAGAGGGGAAGAAAGAATAATTTGTACATTAAACATAGATATGAGATGAATACATCTTCTTTTCTCCCTTGTAATGATAGGAATGTCCTTTGAAATTTAATATTTTTGCAATAAAAATATATCGTGAATGTATACATATGTATGTATATTAAATTTTTTATATATATATGAATAATTTTTAACATATTTTTAAGCAATTGATTTTGAATTAGATTGATTTAAATATCAAATTAGACAATTTAAATTATATTCTTCTTCTATCTTTAATAAACAATTTGTTTTTAACAATCTGCGAAGATAGAACCTGATTAATCGTGTAAATATTAATTAATTCCGTTAATGTTATTATTAGTAATATATATGTTTGTTGAAGATATTAAATTACCTCATATAAGATATATTAGATACAATTTTATTTGTCTATGTATATACATATATTTCTAATTATACAATAAATATACAGAAACGTACTGTATACTTATTTAAAAAGTTTAATAAATAATTTTCTGTTTACTAATTTCTCCTCAATCAATAATTTTTAATATTTATTTATTTTTTTAATAAAAAGAGAAATTTACTAATAGAAATAATCACCAATCCTTCATTCTTTTCTTCAACTAATATAATATTTTTTTCTATACGGTTCTACTTCGTTTTTATACAAACGAGATTATACATTATAAAGATCCATTAAAAAAAAATAAGTATAACAGGATTGAAAAGAGAGCGCGTTAAAGAATATTTTTTGCAGAATTCCATATTTCTTGGTCCTTAATAAATCATTGAGTAACGAGACACGACGATAATTATCGCGAGTAATGCTCGAACAAACGAGAGTTTGAGTGCTTAACTTCCCGGGGCGCGAGTCACTTCTGCGCAGCCCTTCGTTGCTGCAATCCCAAAGAGAATGGAGGGTTGTTGCAGGGAGGCATACTCAGCCAATTAACGAGTGCAGCCCTCATTTAAAAACCTTCTTTTTTTCTTCTGTATTGGCTCTTTTCTATTTATTGTGTGTTTATTTGAGGAAGGGGCAGTTTTCTTTTCGTCCCGGTACTTCTTCTGCGCCTCTCGACGGCGACGATAGTACAGCTTGAATAATCGATACTTCCAGCATTTCTCCGCCGCTGCACACGCACGGTTATCGGCGTCTACGAAACCTAATTGCGCGGTGTTCCGAGAACAAAGGAATCAGTGGTTCTTTATGACGAACTATAGGGTGAATGTCCCTTTTTAAAGTAAACCCTTGTTTTTCGATTTAGTTCCGTATTTCCCACTGTATGCTGCAATCAATTACGGAGAAAAGCATTATATAAATAAAAAAATATATAATTTAGATAAGAAAAAAATTTAAAGTTTTTTTTAATGATTTTTGCAAACTCTTATCTTTTCTTACATAAAAATATAAGAACAAATTTTTAATTAAGTATAGAAGAAATTATCTGGATATATACTGATAATGACGAACTTTTTTCATCTTTGTACAAGAGTTTCAACTATCAGATAATAATTATAAAATCAAATTTTAATTAGAAACACGTTTTTGCATGCAATTCATAATTAATAATAATGTAATTAATAATGGTAAGAGATAAAAATAATTATAAATTAACACATCTTTTATTTTAAGCAGTAACATTTCAAGCAGTTTTATTAGACTCAAATAGCAATCATTAACAATTAATTGTACACAGTAACAAAATAAACAACAAATAGATCCAAGAATATTACACATACAATTTTTTTTTGTAATTTCATGCAAACATATTTGCTTGAAGGTAACAATTGCAGACGATCAAAGAGATTTACGTAATGTATCTTACGTAGAGATTTACATAATAATCCCGCATGCACAAAATTTCGAATAAAATTAACGCATTGTTTTGACCATTTGTAACATACAATGCTTGATCATTTCATACAGAAAAATATTCTAAAATAAATTTTGTTTTTGCAGAGCTTATATGACGATATATTACAAGTAAACGCCACACAACAATCGTGTTAATATACAGTCATTGATATATACGAACGATTCTTTATTACAAATCGCCAAGTATGGAATGAAAACGGCGGTCCACAATCCTAGATCTTTTTAATGAGCAATATCTCTATTTTAAATAATTCTTATATTAAAGTTTTCCTTATCCCGCGGACAAGCTATATGTACATCAAAGCGTGAGGGAGCATGGCGAATTAAATCACGATGAAAAACATGCATTTCTGTATAAAAAATTGTGACTTCCATTTTATTATCACATTCAAAGTTACTACTCTTCAGTGTTCGTAGTAACTTATTAACTATTTCATACTTAATGTACGGTTTAATATTATCTGAAAAGATTATTTTAATATTTGTCGACTTTGAACATCTTTATAAATATACATCTGTTTAATGGTTCATAAATATTAAAACAGGAGAAGTATACAATAAAACTAATAAAGCATCCAAAGAAGAGTTACAACATACATAGACTTTTTTCTAGTTATCGACAACATCATTAAAACAAGGAATATAGATACGGAATATATCTAAGAAAAGTTATATATATATATATAAAAGACTGATAAAGTACTCAACTGTACGTCTTTAAGCATTGGGGACAAAAATATTGCAAAGATGAGCGTTGTATTTTGGAAAACATCTTGTAAGCATAGTAATTTTTAGTTTTATACTAAGTGGACATACTTTTCTCCGGTAATTATTGTTTGTTCTCCAAGATTTCTTAAGAGATCTACAATTAAATTATTCTAGACAGAACAGTCTCAATATAAAATATGTAAAACAATTGTAATTTAATATTGGTCTAATATTGGAATCTTTGATCGTTCGTGCTGATACAAAGGATGGTCTACTTTTTTTTTACAATTCTTTATTATATAATGGTGACTTTCATCTTCGATAATATTACCCGAAATCAATTACATTAGACGAAAAATTATGGGTGCATTCAATATTACGACCACTCACTGAGCGCTCAGTGAGCGGTTGTAGTACTGAATGCACCTTATGTATTACAATCACTGTAGCGTTTTCATATTACTCTGTAATATATAAAAATATTACAACGTACCGTTTGTTATTCCAGCGATAACTTCGAAGATATTTCAACTTATTAACTAAGCAAATCCATAATATCTTGCGTGGATGAATTAAGTTTGTTTACATTAGTTTGCGTATTAGTAGGTGACATGAGAGGCTGCAAGGTTCCAGGAAAGTTTAAGTTTGGCTTAACCTCTGGTTGTATAGCAAAATTTACGTTATTCTGAGGAGCGATAGAATTCCACATCAAGGTGGATTGTGGCGAGTTCCAGTTCATGGGTGTACCCATTCCATTGGAATTCCAATTCATTGATCTATTCAACATTGTTTGCGAATTAAGTGTCGGAGACGTTAAAAATTGCGATTGCGTTAGACTAATGTCATTATATTTATGTGCAGTATTTTTAGCAGCCGATTGTGACATAGTCGATCTTGACATTGACAGATTTAACTCATCTAGATTATTTTTTAGCAAAGTCGCAGTCAAATCCTTCGGTTGCGATTTTATAGGTTGTGATACAGCTTTAGGAGTCAGCATAGGTTGAGACTGCATTCTTTGATGCGTTTCTTGTTGTTGAATCAACCTAGAAAAAATCATCAATGTTTTGGTATTACAATTAATGATTATGCGATTATATTTAAAGAAAATATATTAAGTCTTTAAAATATAGTCAAGATATACCTGAACTTGTCTTCAATGGTTAATCCATTCTCAATATTTACAGTCTTAGAATTAGAATTAGCATTCGGGGATAGCATTTGGTGCGTTAAATTAATATCGCTTAAACTGTTGTTTTGCATAAAGGTGGGTGAAGTCACTTGTGAAAGCTCTTGATCGAGTTGTTGTGTCTCACGACGCACAGCATCCAATTGACGTAATGCCTCTCGATGCTCGCTGGTTACTCGATTTATCATATCGACAACAAGAGTGGAAAGTGTCTCATATTGCGACATGCTAAGATTTTGCTCTATACAGAGGGGTAACAGAAACGGTAGTACCTTTGTTGCTAATATTTCTTTGCCCATACCTAGCTTACTATGAGTAAGTAGCATTCTGTAAATACCTAGCAACATAAAGAAAAATATTTTTCTCAATCTTTCCAATAAAATTGAGCGC